AAAAAAAAAAAAAAAAAAAAAGTATCTGGGATAGCCTTGAATATGCTCAACTGGATATGAAACAATGAAATCATTTATAAGCTTTATCTCTTTTGCTATTATTAGAAATGACACGGGTAATATATCTTGCTCATCTCAATACACCAAGGTGTTTCAACGTGGCTGGAAATTGATGGCAGGCCTATCAGTTTTTATCTTGAGGGATGGATGGAATGGGTAGAGAGACAGACCTCCTAGGAGGCATGTAAGGATCTCCAGGAGTACTTTTAAAAAGTTCTGTGCAATAGACATTTGCTTTTCTCATGCCCCCAATATCCCTTCACCCTCCTTCTTGATACCAGCTCCTTGGTTAGACCTTCCTGCACCTTGGGAGATACTCATGGGACCAGCAGCAGGTGTACCATGGGGTCCCTAATGGCTGAACTCAAGCAGCAGAGCCCACCCTTCATCACAGGGACTGGTCTGGGGATGGTCCTGTGACTCAGTTTGGGCTAATAAAAGGTGCAAGCTGGCATTTGCCAGGGGCTTCTAGGAAGCACGATTCCTAGATCTTTTAAGGAACCATAGGCAGAGACGTTCTCTTTCCCCACTGACGATGAACAGAGGAGCAGACATTCATGGAAGTTGCTGGCAGCTATTTTGTGACCATGAGGCAGGCCATCCTCCAGCTGCAAAAGACGTGGGGAAAGGCAGAGAGGAGAATCGAAGAAAAAGTTGTCGTGTGGTGCCTTGGTCTTTGACATATGTCCCCCGCTGTGCCGAGGCAGTTGACAGATCAAGAATTATTTGAAACTAATCCTCTCGGGACATCAAAGTAAGATGACCCCTATCCTGGTGCATTTCGTAGTGAAGGCAGTGAGACTGGCCATGTTGACATCCAACACGTCCGCTCAGGCTGCCTCTCTTTCTCATTCTCTTAAAGCGCCCCATTCACTCTTTCTTTCAGGACCAAAGCAACTTTCTTAAAAGATATTGTGAATGAAACCTTACTTATAAATAAAGGAAAACCAAACACCCCCAAATTTCCCCACCAGATCATTTGGAAAGACGTGATCAAAACCCCGCGTGATGTCACAGTTGTGGGCCCGTCACTCTCCTCGTGAAGAAACTGCGACACTGCACATATTTCAAGCACCCCCGCCCCCCCAAATCCCACCTAATTTTAGTTGCCTGTGCACCAGGAATTCACGCTGTTGAAACAGAATGAATTTGTATTGACCGGCATTGGTACTGAACAGTTTATAGCAGCAAAGCCTAATTGTGTCCTCGACTTGACCCAAAACTTTAGCAGGACAAGAGCCTCCCCACAAGTCCCACAACTCTGTCCACATTTCAATGGGTTCTCAGGACACCAGTTTCATTATTATCACTGTTTAATTGCAATTATAAAAAGCCAGCAGGAATCACTGGCCTTGAGTGAGGCTCGTCTGCTAGTCAGGGATTTACAAACACCGTTTGGTAGTAACACAAGTCAAAGTGTACAGAGCACCCAAGAATCCCTTTCCCTGCCACCTTGCTGGATGCCAGTTTCACCGTGTGTATGACAAGCCTTGGAAATACATTTCCTTTGACCGGAGCAAGTGCACTGCGATTCAAGGAAATTATGCAGCGAGGATGGAAAGGCATCTGCGAGGATGTCTGTCGCAGCAATGCGAATAACTGTGAAAAACACCTAAATGTTCAGCAAGAGGCATTGAGGGACAAATCCAGGTCACCGCAGACAGTGGCATATGATGCATTTGAATTTGGTGCTGCTATTTAATGTGGCTGTTGACGTACATGTTACCAAATATAAAGAACTTAGATCATAGAGAGTTTTAAGATTTATATTTATAAAAACCTACAGCCCGGCCAGTGTGGTGGCTCAGTGGTTGAGAGTCAACATATGAACCAGGAGGTCGCGGTTGGATGTCCCATCAGGGTACATGCCTGGGCTCGGTACCCAAGTAGGAGGTGTGCAGGAGGCAGTTGATCAATGACTCTTATCATTGATGTTTCTATCTCTCTCTCTCTCTCTCTCCCTCTTTCTGAAATCAATATAAATATATTTTTAAAAATCTATAGAAATTTCTAAAACTTTATGTAACCTGATACAAATTATGTTTTAAAATACTGATATATGCCAAAGTATATGTATAATTATATAACAAGCTGGAAATACAACAAATTGTCAGTAGCGATATTATCTCAGGGCGTTTGAATTATACGTAAATAATAATTTTTAATTTGGGGTATCTTTTTTCCTAATTTTAAAATAACTTACATATATTACTTCTGTAGTAAAATAATAGTGTTTTCCGTGTTTATAAAGCAATTCTAACTAATTCTGCCAATATAAGCAGAATGTAACTTTTCAATGCTGTTTTAAATTGAGCAATCTAAATGTCTGGAATGATGTAAGTTAATAGTTTATTTTAATACACTGTATTAAATACACTGCAGGGCCTAGGCAGGGAATCAGAACTCATGCGGGTAGTTCAATAGAGGGAATTAAAATAGAGGAGCAGCTCTGAAGGAGTTGGAAGAGCTGAAACGCCAAGTTAGGGGGATGGCAAGACAAACTAGATGTTAGCAAAGAAGGAAGGTTCTGCCCCCTCCTGGGAAGCCAGCTTGCAAGGGTGCCTGGGAAATGCAGTTTACAGGGACCAGCCCCCTGTGGGGGGCAGGACATGGAAATGAAGGTCAAAGACAAATGACTGTGGTTACAGTTGACATTTACGCAGACTCCTCGGCTTCAGGTGGTGGCCCTTTGGGACTATCAAGCTGGTTCTCCCTTTAATCAAGGACACCTTTGCAGATGCTAACTTAGTACGTTCCTTGTCTTTTGATCCTAAGCCTGAGATTGCCAGAATTTCCCACGGCTTAGATGCATATCCAGAATTTTTTCTCCCTCCCGTCAAAATCAGTAACAAATCCCACGTGTCTAGGAATCCCTACCCCTCCCACTTCTGCCAGCTTCTTTGCAGGGAAGTGTTGCACATCGCAGATCTTTGTACATGATCTCCTCTCGCATCAGAACTTGTGTGTTCTATGTCTCACGCCCTTTAGGTCCTTCCCACTGATAAACAGCCTGGTGCTAAATATTTCCCTCCCTACTGGCACTGATGAATGTGTCTCCCTACCCAGGTGACACATTTGCAGTTCAACTCTACATTTTAAGATTGTATTCTGGTTATGAAACTAACTAATGAAGCATGGTAGAAAATCAAGAAAAGGTAAAAAATTAGGAGAAAAATAAAAGCCAAGTATAACCGCGTCACCATCTCCTTGGGTGTCCTTTGTGTCGCTCTGTGTGACTACTCCAGGACGGGTTTCCTAAAAGCCATCATAGTGCAGTTGACTTTAGTTTTCTGTCCCTGCTTCCCTTGGGAGTGCCGTTGGCCTTAAGAGCCCTCCGTTTTCCCAATGCTTTGCAAAGCGTGGGGGATGCCTCCATTTTTTTGATTCCTGAAAACAAAGTCGAATCTCCGTCCTGTCTACCTTTTTCCTACAGCAGGTGTCCTTTCGTTGACCGATCTGTCAGTGGGCCTATGAGAGAAATGCCACGCAATGCTCTGTCATGAGCCAGGGAAAAAGCTGATATATGTGTGTGAGGGCAGGGAGAGCACAGACTCATAGTAAAGATAGGTGGGGATTTTTTTTTGGGTA